GAAACATCAGCCTTTCTGCTCCTATGATGCTGCTTGGCCTGCTGTGTTCATCCAGCCCTGCACCTTGTTGTCTTGGTAAAGAACTTTTTTTACTTCCAGAATTCCTAATAGTATATTTATAGCTCCTACTTCTAACTTCCCCACACCTCCCACAAGACCTGGGTTCGATTCCAGCCTCTGGCACCTGTCTGTGTGGAGTTTGCATGCTCCCCCTGTGTCTGCGTGGGTTTTCTTCCACAGTCCAAAGGTGTGTAGGTTAGGGTGAATTGGCCATGCTAAATTACCCGTAGTGTCCAGGGATATGCAGGCTAGGTGGGTTAGCCATGGGAAATGCAGTGTTACAGGGATAGGGTGGGATGCTCTTCAGAGGGTTGATGTGGACTCAATGGGCTAGATGGCCTACTTCCACACTGTAGCGATTCTATGATTCTACAAAGTTTATTGATGTACATTAAGACACTAGTATTGCAGACTGTTTGAGTCCAGACCCTGTGCTCATTGGGATTCTCACTCAGATACTGCTCATATGAGGGTGTCCCTGGATTGCCATCAGCAGCACCAATTCCTACACAAACTGGGGCCGCTAAGGCCAATATGTAGCACTTCACCTTAGCCCCAAATGAATGCTGCTGTCCAATGCAGTCTGTGTCTTTATTCCCACTCCAGGAAGGGATTACATAAATCGTTTTCCATTCCTTTAATAATTTGAACTGCTCTTGATATTATCCAGAACTTTGTGTTTCATTTAGAAATTTAAAGGGAAAAACTGCTTTGTTTTTAATATTTGTTTCTTTTTATGAATTATCCAGAACATGCAGAGGCAGACACATTTTTCTGCTTCACAAACCTGATGTCAGAAATCAGGGACAATTTCATAAAGAGCCTGGATGACTCTCAGTGCGGGATCAGTTATAAAATGGAGAAGGTTTATTCAACATTGAAGGAGAAAGATGTGGATCTTTACCTCAAACTGGTAAGAAATTGTGCATTAGAGACAGGAGTGAAATCTGGGGAGTGCTGCAAGTCCCATTCACCGATCACCCCTTAAGCTGGCTGACCCACGCAGGCTATTGATTGTCATGTCTTTATAATTCTATAAATTTAAAAAAAAACTCTCCATAGCTTTGGTCCTCCCTGTCTCCATAATCTCCTCCAGCCCCATAGCCCTCTGATCTTTCCTTCCAATTCTGGCCCCAACCTTAGTAGTGCTCTCATTGGTGACTATGCCTTCAGCTATTTTGGTCAGAGCTCTGTGATTTTTTTCCCTTAACATTCTCTGTCCATCTGCTCCCCTAAATGTATCCTTTTGGCCAAATGTCATAACGCTTTGTGTAGCTTGGCCAGATTTTGTTTGGTAATTCCTCTAAAGTAGCTTGGGAATTTTTTGTTTTGCTATGCTAATGGTGCTATATAAACACAAGTTGTTCCGCAAAGGGACCGAAAATGGGGAACCTCCAATTTGTTGAGGATTACCACAAACTGGATGCACGCTCAAGCTTAGAAAAGCAACTTGTGATGCAATGCCAGTGTCCCTACGTCTGAGCCAGAGGCCTGGGTTTCAGAGGTGTGTAATACCATCTCTGTACAGGTTGATTAGAAAGTATCTAGAAGAGAGAAGATGCCCTTACATTACAGTTAACCGTGCAGAGACTGGTTCGAACATGAAATTGGCTACTCGGAGAACTGAATGAACATTTGAGGGAGGGAGTGAATGATATGGGGCACCTGGCTTTCTTTGCTAAAACACTTCAATATGCACTTGACTGATTCAAAAATGTTTTTGAGGACATCCAGTGGGTTGTAAAAGTTGCTATGTAAGTTTTTCTTTAGGCTTCTACGGTCACAACTTCTGGGACAGAAATAGCTGCCCTGGAGCTCTGAGTATTTACAACTGCAATGTGCCTTTATGAGCACTTGTTTTTAAATGGTGCGCATGACCTAATCAACGTTATTTATGAGATCTGATCCCTGCTCCCACAAAAGGTAATTACAATTCCTGAATATTAAACAATTTGCAACTTTCCCTGGTCACCAGATTAAGTGCCCACCCCGCCCAAACACTGGAGACATTTAAGCGGAATATTATGTCCATCATTAGACCTGATTCTGTTAATCAGCTGTTTATTAACTAATCCAGACTGTGCTAAGAGTTACACCAGAAACCAATCTGAGATTATCACTGGAGTTCATAGTGCGATGCATTTGTGTCTATTAAAATCTATATGTTTTAGATCCTGTTTTATGTAAATGAAAGGAATTTATATATACATTACACCTTTTTTAATTGTAACAAAGGGGGTCATGACACTGCCAATCCATGTTGCAGTCCCATGGCAGCACCCTGACTATTCATAGTCTACTTGTCTGGGCTGGGAATTAAGACTGACAGGTAACTGTTCCTGCTGTATCTCCATGCCAGTGACCAGTCAGTACCCTCTTCTCATGTTGTGTACATTTTTGTCCCATTTTCCAAGTCTGCTTCTTGCATCCTCAACATGATTAGTATAAGATGTGAAGTTTCAACTTCTTTCTCCTTTTACCAATATTAAGTTGCAAAATAAATTTAAGGGTAAAGGCAACAGAAGGATATACCAATACTGTTGGGTTAAGTAAGATTGGAAGAAGCTTGTCTGGAACATAAACATCAGCCTGGACCAAATGGCCTGCTGCTGTAAAACCATGAAATGGGTATTGTTTATCAGGAATAATTCAGCTGGATGTTTTGTGCTGATGTGTGTCTGTACATTTTATGCTTCAGCAAGAACAGAACATCAAGCCACAGTTTTTTGCCTTCCGCTGGCTAACGTTATTATTGTCACAAGAGTTCCTCCTCCCAGATGTCATTCGAATATGGGACTCCCTCTTTTCAGACATCGGCAGGTTCGATTTCCTTATCCTGGTCTGCTGTGCCATGCTGATGTAAGTAGGAAAACCTGTAGTTTTCAGTTGTTGGTGAAAGATCAAGGGCAGCTTTTTTTTGTCTCCTCTGAGGGTGCAGTCCATCATTTTCTAACCAGAAAACCACCAGCTTTTGGGTGGAGTTGGTGGTGTTAGGTTTGTCTGTCGATCAAATTCATTAGTGATGTTTGTTTATTCTTCGGATGTGTGTAACTGGCAAGATCAGGATTTGTTGCCACTAATTGCTCCTGAACTGAGCGGCTTGTTAGGCCATTTCAGAGGGCAATTAAGAGTCAACTGCATTGCTGTAGCTCGGTAGTCATTTGTAGGCCAGACCAGGTAAGGGAACCATGGAGCCGTTGTTGTGAAAAACCCCTCTGGTTCACCAATATCCTTCAGAGAGAGAAATCTGCCATCCTCACCTGGTCTGGCCTGTGTGTGACTCCAGACCCACAGCAATGTGGTTGACTCTCAGCTGCCCTCTGAAATAGCCTCCGCAAGTCCCTCAGTTGTACCAATAAAGAAATGAAACTGGACAGAGCACCTGGCATCAACCTAGGCACTGGAAAAGATAATGGCAAAACGGTCCTGTTGACCCTGCAAAGACCTTAAAATATCTGGAGGGTAATGCTAGAATTGGATGAGCTGCCTTGCAGACTAGTCAAGCAATAGCCGGACATAGTCACACCCATGGAATCATACCTGAAAAACAGTGTCCTAGACACCACCACCATCATCCCTAGATATGTCCTGTCCCATCATCAGGATAGACCTAGCAGAGGTAGCAGCACAGTGGTATACAGTTGGGAGGGAGTCCATCAATTGGTGTGATGGGATTTGAATCCATGGCCCTGGGGCAATAATCGCAAGGTTGATATTGCAGTGACATTACCACTGTGCCACCTAGTCTTCGCCTGTTCCAGCAGAAGCTCCACATGTGACCCATTTGGCTAGGAAGTTGCTTTGGCATGAATCGACTGAGGGAATTGAATCCCAAAACGGGCAGGTCCGCTATGAGGTTAACGGCACCTCTTATTCTTGCAAAACCCCTTTAGCAACTGCTTTGCTCTGAGGAAGAACGAAGATCAAAACACGAAGCACAGAATGTAGCTTATCAGTCTGTGCTGACCTGGAGAGACAGAATTTTCTACTTAACCCCATTTCCCTTTTATTTCCATGCACCCCTGAATAATAACCCTTTGAGTTTATGTCCAATCCAATCTGTCTGTCATGGGTAACACATTTGCTGCTGAAATGGAGCATGTCTGTTCATGTCCTGTTCTCGTCCACATCCCATGAGTAAATTAAGAAATAAATTCAGGCTGATGTTCAGTGGTGTACTGAGAGTGCTGCACCATCAGAGATGCCATCTTTCAGAGATGTTAAACTAGGGCTTTGTCTCTGTCAGTTGGTAGCAAATAATCTAGTGACACTATTTCAAAGAGGAGCTGGGGGGTTCTGACTGGTGTTCAGGCCAGAATGTTATCTCCTTGCTTACTGTGAGATCTTGCGATGTGCATATTAATTGGCTGTGTTTCTTGCATTACAATGGAATTTGTCATTGTCTGTAAAACACTTTGGCGCATTCTGGGTGGTGAAAATTGTTAACAAAACACACACACTGTAATTTCTGGGGTCATTTAATTGAGATCATTAAGGGTCTTCCCTCCTTTAATTAGAGAATTAAGTATTTGACATTTGTCTCACACTTTTTTGTGAGAAGGATTCTCCTCTGGTGCTGGCAGTATGAGGCCACAATGTGTGCTTTTAAGAACATTTTGTGAATTATGGAGTTGAATTAAACATGATTTTTAGGTGCCAAAGTTTTGTTGTTTCATCTTTATCAGATTTGGCATGAAATGAAGTTACACAGGCTCAATGCAGTCAAGTGTTTTCTGCTCTCTTCAGATTCAGGTACCTTTGATCTGTTGCACTACAGACCTGGGGATTTCCAATAAAGGTTCCCCCACCCTCTATTCTCTTGTTATTTTAGCAAGCCCCTATTAGAACATAAGAACGTAAGAACTAGGAGCAGGAGTAGGCCATCTGGCCCCTCGAGCCTGCCCCACCATTTAATAAGATCATGGCTGATCTTTTTGAGACTCAGCTCCACTTACCCGCCCACTCACCATAACCCTTAATTCCTTTACTGTTCAAAAATTTATCTAGCCTTGCCTTAAAAACATTCAGCAAGGTAGCTTCAACCGCTTCACTGGGCAGGGAATTCCACAGATTCACAACTCTTTGGGTGAAGAAGTTCCTCCTGACCTCAGTCCTACATCTGCTTCCCTTTATTTTGAGGCGATGCCCTCTAGTCCTAGTTTCACCTGCTAGTGGAAACAACTTCCCTGCCTCCACCTTATCTATTCCCTTCATAATCTCATATGTTTCTATAAGATCTCCCCTCATTCTTCTGAATTCCAATGAGTATAATCCCAGTCTACTCAGTCTCTCCTCATAATCCAACCCTCTCAACTCTGGAATCAACCGAGTGAATCTCCTCTGCACCCCCTCCAGTGCTAGTATATCTCTTCTCAAGTAAGGAGACCAAAACTGCACACAGTACTCCAGGTGTGGCCTCACCAGGACCCTATACAGCTGCAGCATAGCCTCCCTGTTTTTAAACTCCATCCCTCTAGCAATGACAGACAAAATTCCATTTGTCTTTTTAATCATCTGCTGCACCTGCAATCCTACTTTTAGCGATTCATGCACAAGGACACCTAAGTGTCTCTGCACAGCAGCGTGCTGCAATTTTTCACCATTTAAAACATGGTCCATTTTGCTGTTATTCCTACCAAAATGGATGACCTCGCACTTATCAACATTGTACTCCATCTGCCAGACCTTTGCCCACACCTTAGACTATCTATATCCCTCTGCAGACTTTCAGTGTCTTCTGCACACTTTGCTCTACCACTCACCTTAGTGTCATCTGCAAATTTTGACATACCACACTTAGTCCCCAACTCCAAATCATCTATGTAAATTGTAAACAATTGCGGTCCCAACACTGATCCCTGAGGCACACCACTAGCCACTGACTGCTAACCAGAAAAACACCCACTTACCCCTACTCTTTGCTTTCTACTGGTCAACCAATCCTCTATCCATGCCAATACATTACCTGTAATACCGTGCAACTTTATCTTATATAGAAGCCTTTGGTGAGGCACCTTGTCAAATGCCTTCTGGAAATCCAGATACACCACATCCACAGGTTCCCCATTGTCCACCATGCAAGTAATGTCCTCAAAGAGTTCCACCAAATTAGTTAAACATGACCTACCCTTCATGAACCCATGCTGGGTGTTCCCAATGGGACAATTTATATCCAGATGTCTTGCTATTTCTTCCTTAATGATAGGTTCAAGCATTTTCCCCACTACCGAAGTTAAGCTAACTGGCCTATAGTTACCTGCTTTTTGTCTACTTCCTTTTTTAAACAGTGGCGTCACATTGGCTGTTTTTCAATCTGCGGGAACTGCCCCAGAGTCCAGTGAATTGGAAACTTCTTGCCTGTAAACAGCAATTGATCCAATTAACTGTCGGAATTTGTGGTATTGTACGACAGTTCATTTAATCAGATGTTGCTGCATCTCCTTGTTTATGTTTCAACATATGTAACCAATGATATCGAAAGCAATTTGCTTTCAGACTGTGTGCATTCAGATGAAAAACCTTGTAGAACTGGTACATTCTTGGAGTGACCGAGTTGTAGCAGAGCTATGCTTTTTTTTTAAATATTAAAAAAAGAGGTCAGGAAGTGTGAACAAAATTAGCCTTCATAATCCATGCTTAAGTTCAAACTTCCTATGTTCACTGTTTGCTTGGAGCTACTCAATTTATCGCATTTACTTTATTTTGAGAAAGTGAAGGCTAGAATTCAATCAATGGAACCAGCAGTGAATAAATTTGTTTCTTTAAATAATTTTGAACATATTTATGATAAATTTGACTGTGAATAAGAATGATGGGAAGAGCATGTTGGAGCGAGATTTTCATTATTTGATTTATCATGCCTTGACAACACCTCCCTGTTTTTCTTGTAGTTTGAGTCGAGATCAGCTGCTTGCTGGGGACTTCACTACAAATATGAGGCTGCTACAGGTGAGTCTATTTGCTGCTATTATAACTATATAACCACATTGTACAATTGCATTTGAGGTTCTGTAGACTTGCAGTATCCTGTTACCTTAGTTGTTGTATCTTCACACTGCATTCTAAGACAGCAATGTGAGCAATCTGCAGGCCGGTTAAAAGTCGTCTGAGCCATGATCTGAATGCTCCGTCCATGGCTGTAACCATTTCTTTACATTAACTGATTTGAGGGGCATGTCTTCAGACTTAATGGGTAGAAGGTTTTATGGGCTCCTTTGGCCTCTATGATGCAACAGGTGTTCACCTACACGCTCTAAACAAGCATCCTACTCGATGTCAACTCAAAGCAGCTGTTTTTGCAGATGTGTGATCTTTTTAAAAAAAAGTTCATGGGACTTTGCAATCTCTTAAACCAGCGTATTGCCTATCTCACCTGTTGAGAAGATGTTGGCAAGTTACCTTCTCGAACCTCATGGTCTGCTGCAGTATGGGTACCTGCAATGCTGCTGTTGAGTTCCAGGATTTTGACCTAGCAACAGTGAAGAAATGGCGATTATAGTTCCAAGTGAGGATGGTGTGTGATTTGGAGGAGGGACTTACTGCTGCCCTTTGTCTTTCTTGATGGTCATGGTCGTGGTTTTGGGAAGTGCTGCCAAAGGAAGCTGGGGAGTAGCTGCTGTGGATCTTGTAAATGGTGTACACTGCTTCAGTGGTGAAGGGGGTGAATGTTAAAGGTGGGGAATGTGGTGCCAATCACGTGGGCTGTTTTTTCCCTGGATGGTGTTGAGTTTCTCGAGTGATGTTAGAGCTGCACTCCTCTTGGCTGGTGGGTAGTATTCCATCACACTCCTGAATTGTAGCTGGAGATGGACAGACTTTGGGAAGACGGGGTGAGTTGCATGCTGCTGAAATCCTGGCCTCTGATCTGTTCTTGTCGCCATTTATACGTGATGTATTTGTATAGACTGGTTCAGGTCAGTTTCCACTCAGTGGCACTGTCTGGGGCCAGATTCTCAGGTGAGAATGCTATCTCCGAGCTAAAAGATTACTTCACTACTTTAGCACAAACACTGGCCACTCTTAAAAAGAATTTGATGTGCTGCTGAAGCAGGCATTATTAAACTTGAAAGCAGAGTTTCTGGTCCTCTGCAAAGGTTCAGATTAGCCTGCGGAGGGAGTTTCTACACGTGAAGAAACCTGCTCCTTCTCTGCTGGAGACTGTTAGGGATATCCTCACCAGGCTTTATATGCTGTTCCCCAGGCTCTGGGAACAGTGTGAACTGTGGCAGTCCTCTGATGCAGAGTGTTTTCACTGCATTGGAGGCAGATTCAATGATAACTTTCAGATGGTAACTACCTAGAGAAAAAGCAGAGGACTGTTCCAATTAGCTCTACCAGGAGATGGTACCTCACCTCAGCTCTGTTGATGAGGCATTTGCTTCTAGTTACCTCATTGACCATTGCCAGACTGCCCCTTGTTGTAGCTAGTACAGCAGGACTTCCCTCAAGAGATCAAAACACTATATGGGGGAAGCCCCAGGGCAGTACCACTTTTCGCAGATCACACCAGTTTCTTTTGTAGGGTGGTTCTGCTAGCACCTCCTCCCCCCAAAATCTTGGCAACAATAAATCAAATCAAGCGCATGTACTGATATACAGTGAAAAATATTGACAAATCATGCCTTACATAAGTACACCAGGGTAACAGAACAGAATGCAGAATATAGTGTTACAGCTACAGAGAAGGTGCAGAGAAAGATCAACTCTACTTTGAGAGGTTTGTTCGTAAGTCTGCTAAGTGGGGAAGAAGCCATTCTTGAATCTGTTGGTCAGTGTTTTCAAGCTGTTGTATCTTCTGCCAGGTGGAATAGAGTATAACCAGGGTGGGAGGGGTCTTTGATTATGTCAGTTACTTTCCTGAGGCAGCGGGAGGTGTAGACCCAGTCAATAGATGGAAGGCTGTTTTTCATTATGGATTGGGCTGTGTTCACAACTCTGTAATTTCTTGTGGCCTTGGGCAGGGCATTTGCCATACCAAGCTGTTACATCGGGATAGAATGCTTTCTATGGTGCATCTCTAAAAATTGATGAGTCATTGTGGGCATGCCAAATTTCCTTAGCCTTCTGAGAAAATAGAGGCATTCGTGTGTTTTCTTGACCGTAGCGTTGCCATGGATGGACCAGGGCAGATTGGTGAACCAGTGACAAATTGATTACTCCTCGGAACTTACCTGCCCAACCCCACTGAAACAAACAAGGTCACGGGTGAGTAGCAGTGAGAATTGAGTCCACAGATTTTTTTTTTTTAAGATGTGGTATCCTTCTCTCCAACTCTAATAACTACCTAGAGATTTGAAATCTGTCAAATCAAGGAGTCTGTTCTTGACTGGAACATTTTCTGGTTGTACAGCTGTTGTACAGAAACATTTTCTTCCTACCTATAATTTAACACCATCTACACTACACTGAGGTGCAGAGGCTATATGTCCTATAGATTGGCAGGTTGTAACAAACAGCATGTTCCTTTTAGCTGCTCAGAACAGGCTCAATAAGGACTGTACCCAATCAGCTGGCAAGTGCAAATTCAAGATAGTGTCCAACATTAGATGTACTTCTGAGATTGAATAACATTAAGTAATCCCAAGTAAGAATTACACTGACAACCAGTGTAAGATTGTTAGGTTCGCAGTGTGGTGCATTTGTGTGTATTGGAAGCAGTATATGAATGTGTATATGAAAATATGAGGCCCTGCACTTCGTGGACAGAACATGTGCACACAGTGCACCTCTCCCTTTACAATGAAATTTCTTGCAGATGTCCTGATGAGTGTAAGACAATAAAGCTTTAACAAAATGTCATCTTTTTTCTGCAATATTATAACTTCCATTAACCACCAACTGTCTCTAGGGAGAACAATCCCAAACAAAAATGGATTTCTGGAGAAAGTCAGCAGGTCTGGCAGCATCTTTGGAGAGAGAAACAGTTAACATTTCAAGTCCAGTGACCCTTCTTCACTTCTGCATTCTCTTCACAAATGTTGCTCGACCTGCTGACTTTTTCCAGAAATTTCTGCTTTTTGTCTCAGATTTCCAGCATTCGCAGTTCTTTGTTTTATTTCTGAGAACAATTCCATGTTTTCTGGTCTCGCCACATTACCAGATTCCCTTGTCCTCAGTAACATTTTAGCCTGCACTCTCTTGAAGGCCTCAACCTTGTTCCTAAAATGTTAAGAACTGGAGACAACTTCAGCTGATGCCTGAAGTAGTGATTTGTAAAGGTTGAGCAGAAGTTGCTTGATTTTGCACTCAGGATGCTTGGCTTTAGAAACAGACAGTGTGTTTCATTTTAGGATGACTTTATTAACTTGGTTTGTCGCTTTAGAAAATTTTTTTGTGATCCTAGAGTTTGAAAGGAAACCAGTTGATTTTTTTTTTTGCAAGGTGGGAGAGATGGTGCAGTCTGCAGTGAAAGAGTCATTGGAGTTGCTAAATGAGAAAGATCAAAGTTTATCTTTTATTGCATTCTGTCCTCCTGTTAGCTTGATGAATTGCTAACGGAGTTGCTGACTAATCACATCAATCTTCTTCAAACATTTCCTTTGAAAACTTAATTTAATTCAGATTCTCAGAATGTCATTGTGTGACTTGGATGTATCTTCTGGATTATTAATTACTGAATTACTGATTCAAAAATGCACTAATACATCCCAAAGGTTTAATGCACGGATGCACAGAATGGTCTTTTATTGCTCTGATGTGTAAAATGACAATTAATTTCAATGTGAGTGGCTGTGCTGATGAATTGTGCAAACCAGGGAGTTCTAGGATGCATTTTCTGGTCTGCGGTGATTTAGCTGTTAATCAGGATGTGGCAGAGGCTTCTGTGTTCCTGGGGGGAAAACTATTAGACAGCATTCTGCACTCTGGCTGCCTGAGCTCCATGGTCCTTCTCCCACCCTGTGGCACAGTTGAACCAATTACGGATGAACTGTGACAATGGCTGATGCCCTATCTCTGTGTCACATACATAGAACATAGAACAGTACAGCACAGTACAGGCCCTTTGGCCCACGATGTTGTGCCGACCTATTATCCTACTAAGATCAATCTACCCTGCATACTCTACATTTTACTATCCTCCATGTGCCTACCCAAGAGTCGCTTAAAAGTCTCTAAAGTATCTGACTCCACTACCACTGCCGGCAGCGCATTCCACACGCCCACCACTCTCTGTGTGAAGAACCTACCTCTGACATCTCCCCTATACCTTCCTCCAATAACTTTAAAATTATGCCCCCTCGTAATAGTCATTTCCGCCCTGGGAAAAATTTTCTGACTATCCACTCTATCTATGCCTCTCATCATCTTGTACACCTCTATCAAGCCACCTCTCATCCTCCTTCGCTCCAATGAAAAAAGCCCTAGCTCCCTCAACTTTTCCTCATAAGACCTGCCCTCCAGCCCAGACAGCATCCTGGTAAATCGCCTCTGCACCCTCTTTAAAGCTTCCACATCTGTCCTGTAATGAGGTGACCAGAACTGAACACGATATTCCAAGTGTGGTCTAACCATAGGTTTATAGACCTGCAGCATAACCTCACGGCTCTTAAACTCAATTCCCCTGCCAATGAAAGCCAACACACCATAGGCCTTCTTTACAAGCCTATCAACTTGGGTCACAACTTTGAGGGATCCTTGGACGTGGACCCCAAGATCCCTCTGTTCCTCCACACTGCTGAGAATCCTGCCACTAACCCTGTATTCGGCATTCAAATTCGACCTTCCAAAATGAATCATTTCTCGCTTTTCCGGGTTGAATTCCATCTGCCACTTCTTTGCCCAGCTCTGCATCCTGTCAATGTCCCTTTGTAACCTGCAACAGCCCTCCACGCTGTCCACAACTCCACCAACCTTCGTGTCATCAATCTTACTAACCCACCCTTCCACTTCCTCATCCAAGTCATTTATAAAGATTACAAACAGCAGAGGTCCCAGAACAGATCCCTGCTGAACACCACTGGTCACTGAGCTCCAGGCTGAATATTTTCCATCTGCTACCACCCTCTGTCTTCTATTGTAAAGCCAGTTTTGTATCCAGGCAGCCGAATTTCTCTGAACCCCATGCCTCCTTACTTTCTGAATGAGCCTTATCGAATGCCTTGCTAAAATCCATATACACCACATCCACTGCTCTACCTTCATTGATGTGTTTTGTCACATCCTCAAAGAATTCAGTAAGACTTGTGAGGCATGAACTGCCCCTCTCAAAGCCATGCTGACTATTTCTTTGCTTCCTATTTACTTGTGTTCATTTTAGCCGTTCCAAATGTGTGTGAGTAAAGTAATATTCTACAATAACACAACTGCAGCTCGTGTTTTTTTTAAATCCACAAACCTCTAGATATGTAGAATCTAGAGCTGCCAGTCATATGTTTGCGTGCCGTACCGAAGCAGTCGATTTTGTTTTTGTTTACTAGTGGAAAATTGCAAATGATTTTGTCTTGAGTGACCTTGATGTTGATGTAGATGCAAAAAGGTTTGGGATTGCTGCCACTAGATGTGAGTGGTCCCTCGCTCTCACTCTCGCTCTGAGAGCTTTAGGGTTAGTTGTGTAGCACTGTTGGCAAAGGAATTGCCAATGTTCAGCAATAACCAGTATCAAAGTTGGGGCTCTGATGAGCAGCAAAGCTATGGATTTGTGCTTTAATCATAGGTAAGATGGCCAGCCCATTATGTTTGCTGGACGCTAATGGAGAAACCCAGCATGTCTAGCAGCATCTGTGGAGAGAGAGAGTTAACATTTTCAGGTCTGATGTGACTCTTCAGAGTTGACACAGATGCTGCCAGACCTCCTCAGTTTCTCCAGCACTCTGCTTGTTTCAAATTTCCAGCATCCGCTGTATTTTGCTGTTGTTCAACCTTTTGGATGGGTGATTGACAAGGGCGCAGTTGCCCATAAATGAGAGGTAACCGATAACCAGAAGGCAAGTTATCCCAAGTTCTACCTTGATCACTGACTGGTTGCAGGACAAACTTAAGAATGTGGAAACAGGTGTAGGCCATTCAGCCCATTGAACCTATCTAACCATTCTAGGTTGTTGTGATGATCTCCACAATGCCACTTTCCCGCAACAGCACCATTTCCCTTGATGTCAATAGTCTCTAGAAACCTGCCAATTTCTGTCTTGACCCTGCTGAATGATCGAGGTTCCACAGCCCTCTGGGGTAGACAATTCCAAACATTCACCACTTAGTAAAGAACTTCCTCTGCACCTCAATCTTAAATTGCCTACTTGGTGGAGGAAGAGGCTTCAAGTTAGGCTAGTGAGAAGTTTTTTTTTCCCCCTGTTTCAATGTTGACATTAAGGTAAGTCCAACATTTCTCTGTGGCCCATCCCTAATTGCCCTGGAGAATGTGGTGGTGCGCAACATTTCATCTTAGCTGCACATATATACAGTTGCTCCAGGGTTCCCCATGTGGTGGATTTCTGAAAGTCATTGCTGTGCATAGATCTGAGGCCTGTGCAGCTGGAAAGAAAATTCAATAGAGAGCAGACATCCGCTTGAGCTGCTGTAGTCTGTAGCATAGATACCTACGTGCTGTTATATGGAGGGAGTTCCAGGATTTTGACCCA